TATCAGTAGAATTTTGCGAGAAAATTTCATCCATATCGAATGTCACTTCACCAGGCCATGACATTGGACGATCATAGACAAAGACTGATATTCTGTAATTGGATTACTCAACAATTACCTACTTTCCATAGAAGTATCTTGTTTTCTGATGAGTGCACCTTCAAAAGTGACGGCGAAGTGAACACACATAATCTCCGTTATTGGGCGCAAGAGAATCCACATTGGTATCGAGAAATCGATCATCAACGTATCTGGAAAGTCAATGTTTGGTGCGGAATTGTTGATACGCATATCGTCGGACCATTTTTCTTTGAAGAAAATCTAAACCGTTTTCTGTATGTCGATTTACTCGAAAACGAACTCCCACGTTTACTTGAAGATATTCCACTTCAACTACGTCTAAATATGTGGTTTCAACAGGATGGATGTCCAGCCCACACGTCTGTCATTGCTCGTCAACAACTGAACCGCATATTTCGCGGCCAATGGATAGGTAAATATGGTCCACATAACTGGCCACCACGATCACCGGATCTTACAATTTTGGATTTTTATTTGTGGGGAAGAATAAAAGACCTCGTATACCGCGAACGACCTACGACTTCAGAAGACATGAAGAACAGAATTCGAGAAGCCATTCAGTCTCTAGATCCTGTCGAAATTCGTCGGGTGACGGATGATTTTCAACGAAGAATAACAGCCTGCATACATGCACGTGGAGGACACTTCGAAAATCTAGACTGAACACATGCGTACGAACAAAGGTGACGGCAAGGGGAACCACCTTAAAAAAGCACCCCGACGAGGTGTAAGTCCGACCTTGTGACCTCCACGTGGTACATCTTGGGTAACGCTGACACAGGCGGCATCGACTGTTCAAGATCTTGATAATTAGGAATCTTTAAAAATCGATGTACACGACTACAAATGAATCTAAAGATAGAATTCAAATTCACCAGCAGATGGATGCATCATAGCTATGTAAATACCTAGTATTGTTTGAACTATTTTTTGTACAAACACATCCATATTTTTTAGAAGGTTGGTACGGGTGCTCTAAAAATAACTTGACTTCCACATGACCTCTAAGGGTAATTTTGACCTAGGCTTGATAACGTATTCGGACGTAAAATTTTCCGCTATTTTCATTTGTGATGTCATGAATAAGGGTTTACATTTGTAAAACGGTACTTTGACCTTGAGTTATGCCCAAGGTCGACCTCAAGGTCAAATTCAAGGTCACCATCAGATAGATCTCTCGAAATCCCGCAAATTTTGTCTGAACCATTTTTTTGTACAAATCCACATCCCTACCTTTTAAAAGGATGGTACGGGTGCTCTGAGACACCCGGTATTAATGTTATAATACAAGTGTTATATTAATGTTATAATACAAGTGCAATAAATTAGAATGTATTACAATATTTATTACAAGTAATAAACATAATTGTTACCAGTAACATACCGATTAATTGTAATTTCCCATTCATAAATATAACATATAATATAACAGAAGTTATATTTTTGTTATATAATGAAATAATATTTATATTACATTACCAAAGTAATTGCGTGTGTGTGTCTCGTATATATATATATATATATATATATATATATATATATATATATATTTATTTTTAAAGATATTTTTAAATATCTTTGCGATAGGAGAATTATTACTCAGTTTTTTTTTGGAATTTTGTGATTCTCAAAATCTAAACATATTTGTCGATAATCCTTTTGCTTCTGAACTTATTACTATTTCAGCTAAAGAGATACAAATGATTTAAAGCTACTAATTTCTAATTCTAATTTTGTGAAAAATATATGATAATTTCTTTAATACATCATAAATTAATACATCATAAATTCATAATTGAATAATGTAAACAAAAACAGACAAGAGTCAAAGAAAGTTTTTTGCGCAGTTGTTAGTGCGAAAATAAAAATCGTTTATTATCGACTATAACTATAACTATAATTATAATTAGTTATGCATTTCGCCCTGCTTCCGGACCATCATCAATATGTCTGAACGTATGTTGTAAAATTCTCACTTCTTCATAGCAAGACGGTAAAGTGGCAACTCAATCTCCTTATTCTATTGGCAATGGTTGACAATTTCAATGACAATGATTAACAGATAAAAATCTGTGCAAATATAAAAAACGTTACCTATTATTTTGTATAAAGAAAAATTAATGCACTTATCCATGTAACTATGAAAGACGTAAACATCAAAAATCAATTAAAATCAAAAGATAAAAGATCCGCAAATTATTTATATTTAGTGATATAAATTCATTATAACCGTTCCGAATATTGTAACAGTCAATATTTAAATGAGTCAAAGATAATACACAGTACATGTATAAACTAATAAGTAAAACGGACGATATTACCAACATATGTCAGACTATTACTTAAAAATAATAAAAACAAAAACGCACAGTTTAAATCAATGTAGATTATTGAGAATTGAGATGAATGAATGATGTAAAAATTCGGTGTCAGATTACAAATTAAGGCTGTTTTTTTTGCAACTAAATATGTAGCATTTCTGAGATACGTCGTTTGTACAAAAACCGCTCCCGATCAACAATTTCTGTGCCTTCCCAATCAAAATCATGGTTTAGATCCAATCTGTGTTCGGTAATAACAGAATGATTATCCGTGTTCCTTTGGATATCATTACAATGTTCCGAGATTCTCGTTTTTAATGTTCCCCCCTATCTGCTCGACATAGGAAGCATTGCAATCCTTGCAATATATTTTGTAAATTATGTTGTTTTTTTTCTTTATTAAGTAAAGGATTTTTATGTGTTTTAATAAAAAAATTAAGATTGTTCAGACTAAAAAATACAAGATCAACATCAAGATCTTTAATTATGTCCTTGAATTTGTATGAGATCTCCGAAACAAATGAAATCGTAAACGATGATTTCTTAACAATATCTTCATCGGAAGTATCATTCATGTTTTGCTTTAAGGTTTTGTTACTCAATAAAGATTTTAGATTTTAGGTCATTATATATATAATTGTGTTAAAAATAAAATCGATCGGATAGTTATTATTTAAAAGTGTCTCAATGACAAAGGTCAAGTTCTTTTTACGATATTTAGGTTGAGATAGCAAAGGCCCTATCAATCAAATTTTATTCCTATGATCATACCTCTCTTTTGCGAAATAGGATACTGAGAATACTGAGAAAAGAAATTCAGATATCTACCGGAGAAAGTAGATTTGTGGTACCAATCATATTCAAGAATATTGTTATTTTTGATAATAATAATATCTAAATAATTTAATCTGTCCCCACCAATTTTAATCGTGAACTATAATCGAAGATGAAACGAATTGAAAACTTGTAATATTTCATTTTTTTTTTTTTTTCCTTGGAGCTTCATTTTTTTTTTTTTTTGCTTGGAGCTCCCATATCAATGTCATCTACGTAGTGAACGTAAAAGAGGATATAGGAAGCTAAAGTATTCAATGCCTTTTTCTTCAGATCTTGTAATACTAAATCCGCGATTATTCGTGATAGAGGTGAGCCCATGGATATTCCAATTTTTTTCTGCAGATAATATTGTCAAAAGAAAAAAACGAAGAATTAAAAACTAATTGTAAGGAGATAAAAAATTCATCTTTTAAAATATTGCATATTTTTGAAGTTGCGGACCATCTGTTAGAGATGCTGTCAAGAGCCAAATCAATCGGTATGTTTGTAAAAAGGAAAACCACGTCAAGTGAAATTAAAATAGAATTATCATCTAATATTTTTTTACTCAAAATTTCAATTAAATGAAAACTATTTTTTATATAACTGAATGAGTCAATACTATTAAAAATTATTATGTAGAAATACTGCTAAAGAGTATAATGGATTATTGATAGCAGAGATGATAATTCTTAGAGGCGACCTCGGTTTATTTGGAAGCCCCCGGATCTTTGGAAGCCCGTAAGCGCCAGGTAATACCTCGTCACTGTTGTACAATTTATTGTAAATCTGTTGTGAAATGAATTCTTTTTTTCTTTCTAGTAAGTAACTCTTTCAGTTTTCTAGAAAGAATATTAATATGATCTTTTTTAACTATTTCATATGTATTTTCATTGCTTAGTAATGTAAGTATTTTTTGTCTATAGTCTTCCTTTCTTATTACCACTGTCACATTATCCTTATCGGCTTTAGTAATCATAATATCATGGTTCCTCAAAAATGATTTTGTTGCTTTCTACATATTTGCAAGCTTATTCTTCAAAAAATCAATCCGACTAAAACTCGAAAGATTATTAATAATTGATATGATTCGATTTCTAACGTCTAATCATTTGCTTACATGTAACTTATTAAGACTATTTTCGATGTTTTTTATAAATTCTAAAATAATTTTTTTATAATTAGAAGGAGACATTGAAAAGTTTTCTCCCAATTTGTAAGAGATACTGTATGTTGTTCGGAATTGAAGTCAAATGAATTGTCAACCATTGCCAATAGAATAAGGAAATTGAATTGCCACTCTACCGTTTTGTTATGAAGAAATGAGAATTTTACAATATATATTTAGACATACTGATAATGGCCTGGAAGCAGGCCGAAACGTTTGCGTAACCAATTATATTATAGTTTTTCGACAATAAACGATTTTTATTTTCGCACTAACAATCGCGCAAAAAACTCTCATTGGCCCTTGTTTTTTAGTTTTTGACATTCTCGAGAGTTTGGTTACTTATTTCATTTGAATAATATAAAGTTAAAAATGTAAAATTCTACGTAAAAATATAAGTGTATAAACATAATCGTATAAAACATAACTGCATGCAAGATATAATTGCTAAATGTAGGAATTATAATGTACAATATGTTGTAATATTTTAATATTTTATACAAAATGTATGCTATATACAGTGATGGAAAAAAGTTCCGGAACGGTGAAGTATTTCAGCGAATTGCATTTTTTTGGGAAAATGTTAAATACAGAAGTTTTAGGATTTTTCCCTGGCTATCTAATGGTGATACTGAATTCGACCTTGACTACAACTTTGAAGGTCATTTCAAAGTCAAATTCACTTTTTTAAATGGGAACTACTATTTTTTATTGCGGATTTGGAAAGAGCGGGAAATTTTACGTCAGAACATGACTTTGACCATAACCTTGAAATCAACGTCAAGGTCATTTCAAGGTAAAAGTTCCAAAAGTCCTGGTATGGCAAGAATATCTCGGCGAAATTGCGGAAAAATGTTCAATACGAAAGTTTCATGATTTTTTCCCTGGCTATGTACGTTGTTTGTTTAACACACAATTTCAACATCTCTTAGCCATTTTTCAACCTAAAATAAAAAGTATTTTTCATTTTTACCACGTGGAGGTAGATGTTATATGTACAATTTATTTTTTGCTCAGTTTATCTTTTTGTGTCAATTGTTGACGCTTACGTTCTACACGGAAAGAAGTTGCCATATTGTAGATACAGACCGTGTCCGGCGCATGGCGAGAGATGTGCCGCTCCTTCCCTCGAAATTAAACCACTACCAAGATCAAGACCACTACCAAGACCAAGACCACTACCAAGACCAAGACCATTACCAAGACCAAGACCAAGACTGGGTAGGTGGGTGTGTGTGTCTGTCTGTCTATGTATACATACATACATACATATGCGGTATTCGCAGCGCAGTAGCATTCGTTTTCTTATTTTATACTTTTTAAAAAGGAGCAGGTCGAAATCAATTTCGCAGTACACATAGTACGGAATTTTAATGTAAAACCTAATAATAAGATATCTGTGTATGTGGAATCCATATTAAGTACGTAACTGTCGCGTTATTTATGCAAATAAAACTTCGTTCTGGTATTTTTGTGCTGATACCTTTGTAAAATTAATTTCGTCCAATTATTCATA